ATCGCCTCGTTGAACAACAAAAGGGGCGCTGACACTGATGGCATTGTTGCGGGGATGTTCAAGCACCTTTCTGACGCGGTAATTGATTGGCTGTTATTTTTTCTACAACCAAATAATATTGACAGGGGAGGTGGAGGAATTCTCCTGACAAAAAACACGCTATTTATGACGCTCCCTAAGACCGGGGACCTGGCGCAGCCACAAACCTGGAGACCGATTGCTATTCTGAAGACATCATACAACATCTTCTCCCGTATTTTGCACCATCGGTTACGCGACGTTCTGGAGCAGTCGCAGGAGCCAGATCAGGTCAGATTCAGGCCGAACCACTTTTTTGATGACGCGTTCCTGGTCTTTGAAATTTCATGCAGGAAGTGCATCGAGTGGCAGGTGCTGCTATGGTGTGCCAGCCTTGACCTTCGCAAAGCGTTCGGCCGGATAGAGCACAGCCCCCTGTTTGACGCTCTTCGATGCAGACTACATTGTTTTGTTTGCGAAATTGTATCCCGGGCAGACGGGCGCAGCGTCAGGGGGTCAAGCAAGGCGACGTCACCAGCCTGATGTTGTTGAATGCTGGCTTGGAGCTAGCAATGGAACGATGGAAACGTCGCATTGGGCAAGCCGACTTATTCATCGGAGACGGCGAGAAACTCACGCATATACGGTATGCTGATGACATCATGTTGCACGCGAGTTCTGCCGATGAGGTGGCCATCATGTTGGAGGCGCTGATTGAGGAGCCCAATGCAGTCGGATTACATTGAAACCCAGAGAAAACAAATATCCAGACCACGGAGGAAGACACGGAGAATCGGTTCACCGAGGTCGGAGAGCACATGCTGAAAAGCATGGAATGCATGGATGTTCGCAAGTATTTTGGGAAGGAGCTTACCGGCGAGCCTGACGAGCCGTAACGCCATCGAGTTGGGGCAGAGATTCCGGCGAGATTGGCGCACATGTCATGAGCACCGTCACGACCTCACAGACCAGAACGTATCATTCAGGTTGCGGCTCAAGCTGTTCCAGTCGGTCATTACGCCAACCTTGTTGTTCGGACTGTCGCCCGCGGCTTCGATTGAGCAGCGAATGCCATCTTTGGACGTCCTTCAAAACAAGATGCTTCGCTTGATCGTTGGGTGGAGGCGTTATGAAGATGAGGAGCGGACAGACACACCATGAGACGAACGAGGGACAGGATCGGCCATGCAATGCGTGTCTTCCCGATTGAAAAATGGAGTGAACCATTTTGTCGCCGCTTGTTCAAATTTGCGTTCCGGGCAACTTGGTCGGACAACGAATGGGTTCAACAAAATCATATTGTGGAGCCCGCGCTACACGCGCGGCGCTATGCGGCCGCGTGGGCACCCCCCGACAAGATGGGATAACCGTTTTCAATGATTTGCCCGTGATGTGTTGCGTCGTGTATCTCGCTGATATGCAGTCGTGCGAGAGAGCGATGAAATAGCATTCGTCGGGTATTGCATTCACGCGCGAGGACCGCCCCCTGCTCCTCCTCCTCTCCCCTCCCCTTCTCGGAGGCACAACGCTTGCTCTCCCATGCGCGCGCGCGTCTAGCCCGGCGCGTTGTAGCCTCGCCCGTTTACGGGCCAACCTTTTCAAGGTTTGATCGGGCCTCCGTCTGTGACCCTTTGGGGGGTGCTTTTGGAGGCCTCTTTGGACGTCTTGGGCGCTTTTCGGCAGTCTGGAGGCCGTCTTGGGTGTCTTCGCCCGATCGTTCAGCGATTGTGGAGGGCCCCAACAGGCCCTCCCAAGAGGGCCCTGGGCAAATCGGGGAAGCTTCCCCCTCTCCACTTCCAGGGCCCGAGGATTCTTTGGAAACCCCGACCCCCCCAAGGGCCCTCGCTCCTTCCAGCCCAAGCCCTGCTGCTGCTGCTATTCGTCCTCGCCCTCTTCCTTCGTTATCCTCTTCCTTTTCCTCTTCCTCTTCCTTTTAAAAGCGCTCCCCTGACGGAGTCGGGGACCGTCGGGCCTTCGGGGCGAAAAGCCCCCGCACATGGGGACGGCCGCTAAAGCGCGGTCCCCTTCCCCAGGGGGTCGCCTGGCGCGCAGGTCCCCCGTTCGGGCAAGGTGTCCCTCCCTGGTCTTCCCGTCCGGGGGGTCGTGCCGGGCGGTCCGTCCTCCCCGTCGGTCGTCGTCGTCCGTCGCGTCGTCGTCGTGTCGTCGTCGGGCGTGCTCGGGGGGTCTCGGCGGATGGGCGGGCGAGTCCCTTGCCCTGCCCGCGCGGTTTTGTGGTCCGGGAGGATCTCCGGTTTTCCAGGGGTTCCCCTGGCCCCTTCTGCGCGGGTGTGGGCACGGGGGGTTGTGCCTGCCTTTCGCGCTCCCCCCCACGGGCCCGCCACCCGCCTCAGGTGAGGCGCGCGGCTAACAGTTGCTGCAATCGGTCCTGCCCAACGGCTTGCAGAGGAAAAAAACCGACCCCCTACCCCAGCAGAGCCACCCAGCCCAGGCACCCACGCTTTGAGGGACGCAAGGGTTTCCTTTTGAATCGCTGGGGTTCTATCAAACTCTGAGATTCTAGGGGGAACTCACACGCTGGACTTCACAAGAGAAAAAAATACCCATACCTCTACCCTCCGCTCGTTTTCCCCTTTTTGGCCTTTTTGGGCCTCCTGGGCGACCCTCGTCGCCACCGCTGGATCCGCTTCGAAATTCTGGTCAGGACGCACCCCACGACAGGTCCTGGGAGAAGCGGTATCGGTACCTTGTGGTTTTCCCAGGATTGGCGCATTTACGCTTTCAAGCGACGAGTTGCAGGGGACACTGCAGCAGGACTTGCAGGTTGAGCGTTCCAGTGGCCTGCGAACTTCAATCGTGTGCGTGTGTGTGTGTGTGTGTGTGTGTGTGTGTGTGGTGGGGGGCGTGTGTCGCCTCCGCGTCGCGTGAGTCCGACTGGTGCGCGTGTTTCCTCGACCTGTTCTGCGCCGCGCCGCCGCGCGTGTGGCCGTGTGTGTGTGCGTGTGTGTGTGTGTGTGTGTGTCTGTGTGTGTGTTTGTGTGTCTTGGCCTCTGGCCCCGCGCCTCAAAACATATCTTGATTTTGCAAAGGGCCAGGAAATGCTGAGACGATCGAGGTGCTTGACATGTGTGTTGCGCCGGCGAGCCCATGGCGTAATCAAAGTTCAGGGAACCCCGTGCCGTGGATAATGAAAGGGTCCCCCCTTAGCCTCCCCGTGTTGATGATCTCCGTCCAAGTCATTTTTGGTCGGCGTGAAGGGGGGGCGGGAAGAGTGCCGAACTTTATTATCCACCGGGCCAATTACCAATCGTATATGTAATCTTCTTATCATGAGTAGCAACATTGTCGTTATCATCACTAGTATGGTGATTTGTCTTATTCCTATCACTGCTGCTATCGTATAGTATTCCTACTGCTCGTAGCATATTACCACTCTTTGATTCGTCTTCTGCATGTCTCACAGTTGCAAGGAAGGGTTGCATCCGTACCGTCGTTCACCGTGCTTCCGCACACCGTACATCCGTACATCCGTACATGCGAGTTGCCGGGGAACGTGTTTCCCAATCAGAGCTTACTGTAGGGGTCCTGGCGGATTCATTTCCCAATCAGAGCTTATCTCTGTAGGGGTCCTAGTGGATTCATATGGTTAGGTGAGGCGTGGCGCCGATTTCGGCGGCGCGTCTGGGTGCCCAGGTGCCCAGGTGCACGGATGCCCGGGTGCCCGGTAGCTGATTTCGGCGGCACGTCCAGATGCCTGGTAGCCCTATATCCCTATAGCCCTACAGCCTTATAGCCCTATCCCTGTGGCCCTGTGGCCCTAGAGTCCTATAGCCCTATAGCCCTATATCCCTAATAGCCCTATAGCCCTGTACCTATAGCCCATAGCCCTATAGCCTTATAGCCCTATAGCCCTGTAGCCCTATAGCCATATAGCCCTATAGCCCTACAGCCCCCCATAGACCTATAGCCCCATGGCCCCATAGCCCAATAGCCCTATGGCCCTATAGCCTTGTATCCCTATCGCGCTATAGCCCGATGGCCAAATAGCCCTATAGCCCTGTAGCCCTATAGCCCTATGGCCCTAGAGCCCTATAACCCTATAGCCCCATAGACCAAAAACCCTATAACCCTATGGCCCCATAGCCCTATGGCCCTAAACATATGATGATTGTTGTTTTTCTCTGGTATCCTGGTTCGGTGAGGTTTGCCACCGATTTCCGCGGCCCGCCTGGGTGCCTGGGTGCCTTATAGCCCTACATCCCTATAGCCCTATAGCCTCATAGCCCTATAGCCCTATAGCCCCACATCCCAATAGCCCTATTGCCCTATACATCAATAGCCCCATAACCCTATAGCCTTATAGCCTTCTAGCCCTATCACCCTAGAGCCCTATAGCTCTATAGCCCTATAGCCCTATAACCCAATTGCACTATAGCCCTATTGCCCCATAACCCAATAGCCATATAGCCGTATAGTCCTTCAGCGTTATTGACTTATAGCTATATAACCCTATAGCCCTATAGCCCTCTATATCTACATGATTATAGCCATGTAGCCCTATAGCCCTACAGCCCCCCATAGCCCTATGGCCCTATGGCCCTATAGCCCCATAGCCCTACAGCCCTATAGCCCTATAGCTCTATGGCCCTATGGCCCTACAGCCTCATAGCCCCATAGCCCCATAGCCCCAGAACCTCATTGCCCTATAGCGGTACAGCCCTAGAGCCCTATGGCCCTACAGCTGTCTAGCACTATAGCCCTCTAGACCTATAGCCCTATGGCCCTATAGCCCTATAGTTCTATAGCCCTATAGCCCCATAGCCTCATCGCCCTATAGCCCAATACCCCTATAGCCTTATAGCCCTAACATGACTTGGATTGGGTTTTTTCTCGGGTGCCATCGATTGTCCTCCGTGGGCCCCGAACTTCATGATCCCCGTTGTGTGGTTATCGGGAGCACAGGGTTAGGCTCCTGCTCCTCCTGGTTATCCTCAGTCTCGTCCCTTCTCTTTATACCTGTTCTCGGTTCTCCGCGGCTGCTGCGTACATCCTCATGCTCCTCGACCCTCCTCCCCCCCTCCCCGCTCTATCCGACTTCGAAGACTCTTCTGGCTTCGGCCTCGAACAGGACGTCCCAAAGCCCTTGTCGAGCGACCCCCGACGCCCAACGAAGCCATGGCTGCCGCGCGCGTGCTGGTGTTCTGCGCTGCCCTCCTCGCGGCCGCGCGCGGGGCACGCCTGGGCAACAAGACGGCCGCGGTGGTCGCTTCTGGCCACAAGAAGGCCGCGGTGGTAAGCTCTGCGGAGGTGCACCGCGTGCTCGACGTGTGCCACAGTGCCTGCGGCCAGGGCGTGGACGTGAGCTGCGTGCCCAGCTGCCAGGACGAGGTGCACGCCTGTGGGACGACTGCTGGTCAGGGTGCCCCCTGCGAGAAGAAGGCCGTCGCCAAGTTCGCCAACTTCCGCGCCGCGTGGGAGAAGGATCGGGCGGTCCGACAACCGCTTCCCCGCAGGAACGCGACGATAACCGCGCTTTGCGCGTCGCGGCCCGTCTTGAAGAGCTGCGCTTCTCCGAGGTGGCCTCGCCAGGGCGCGAAGGTAACCGCGCGTCGTAATCATGAGGCGCGACGCGCGAAGTTAGGTGGCATGGAAAAGGGGGAGCTTGGGAAAGGGGGGATTGTCACAATTGCTGTGTGCAGCTGGTTTCGGGCCCGTCGCCAACGCTTCGATGCGTCCGACACTACAAATTGCTCGCGTGGCTGATTCGCGAACGCCCCCTCACCTACCCACCCTTCTTTCGTCCAGCCCGAAAGGAGCACCCCCACTCCTTCATGAAGGTCGCGACCTCGGCCCTGCGCCGAAAGGTGGAGACGGGGTGCGAGGACGCCTGCGGTCCGTTCGCGGATTCACACTGCTTCACCGAGTGCGAGACGATGATGTTCCGATGCATGTGCATGGAGGACCATGGTCGGTCGGCCACCCTCAGGGCCATGGGGCCCATGCGCAACCGAACGGGTCCCCCACAGAGGCCCCCCCAAAACGGATCTCCCCCGGAGGCCCAAGAAATTTCAGCCACAAAGGCAAAGGATCAGCCGATGCTACTTGTTTGTGGTTGCCTCTGGAGATCTGTTTGGTTGCAACTGGGCCCCCCCTGGTCTGGCCAACCGACCACGGACTGAGGAGGATATCGCCGAGAAGAAGGTGGCGTGTGACAAGTGTGAGAGCGAGGTCTTGGCCAAGGCAAAGACCTTCGACGAGAGGCACCATGATACCAAGCTGTTCCCATCCCGAAACCCCTTTCCCGTCGCATGGAGCGCGCCGGGTGCGGGGAGTGGGGTGCAGGGCCGACCCGGGAACCGCGCGGAGCTCCTTGTGGTTATGTCTCTTTTTTCCCGGAAAGGGCATGGGCCCAGGGTTCTCTTTTAGTAGGTAAACCTGTCCCCCGGTGCCAACTTGAGGGAGGCCGGCGAATTTTTTCCCTGATAAATAACGAGGTCGAAGGAGGCCGGCGAATTAAAATTTGAGGATGTCTCGAGCGAAACGCTTGTTTTTGAAATTGAGATGTCTCGAGCGAAACGCTTTTTGCAGAGTTGAGGATGTCTCGAGCGAAACGCTTGGTTTCAGAGTTTGCCGAGGATGTCTCGAGCGAAACGCTTGTTTTGCAGAGCCGACCGCGACACGGAAAAGCGCTCCTCGCGCAGGAATTCCGAGGATGTCTCGACTAATTCGTTTGTTTTTGTGCGATTTCCTGGAATTTTGGCAGGATGTCTCGAGCGAAATGCACGACCCCACCCTAGCACGACCATACCCCAGCACGACCACACCCCAGCACGACCAGACCCCAGCACGACCCCACCCCAGCACGACCCCACCCCAGCACGACCATACCCCAGCACGACCACACCCCAGCACGACCCGACCCCAGCACGACCCTACCCCAGCAAGACCACACCCCAGCACGACCACACCCCAGCACGACCTCACCACAGCACGACCACACTCCAGCACGACCACGCCCCAGCACGACCACGCCCACAGCACGACCACGCCCCACGACCACGCCCCAGCACGACCACCCCCAGCACGACCACCCCAGCACGACCACACCCCAGCACGACCACACCCCAGCACGACCACACCCCAGCACGACCACACCCCAGCACGACCACACCCCAGCACGACCACACCCCAGCACGACCCGATCGATAAATCACAGGGTGCGGAGCACCCCAGCACGAACCCACCCCAGCACGACCCCACCCCAGCACGACCCCACCCCAGCACGACCACGCCCCAGCACGACCACACCCCAGCACGACCACACCCCAGCACGACCACTCCCCAGCACGACCCCACCCCAGCACGACCCCACCCTAGCACGACCACACCCCAGCACGACCACACCCCAGCACGACCCCACCCCAGCACGACACACCCCAGCACGACCCCACCCCAGCAAGACCACACCCCAGCACGACCGCACCCCAGCACGACCTTACCACAGCACGACCACACCCCAGCACGACCACGCCCCAGCACGACCACGCCCCAGCACGACCACGCCCCAGCACGACCACGCCCCAGCACGACCACGCCCCAGCACGACCACCCCCCAGCACGACCACCCCCCCAGCACGACCACCCCCCAGCACGACCACCCCCCAGCACGACCACACCCCAGCACGACCACTCCCCAGCACGACCACACCGCCTTGGTTGAGTGGTTGCCTGTCGTCGTGGAATGTTTCGTGGGGTGTCTCGTGGAATGTTTCGCGGGGTGTCTCGTGAAATGTTTCGTGAGGTGTCTCGTGGAATGTTTCGTGAGGTGTCTCGTGGGCTGTTTCGTGAGGTGTCTCGTGGGATGTTTCGTGAGGTGTTGCCCAGTTGGGTATCATGAAAACGTGTCCATGCTCCACATGTCTATATCCCTTTCCGGGTTCGTGGGTCCATCATGTTGGCCCTCCAGGTACCACACCATTGCCTAGCCTGTCGCTGTGAGAGACCCGCCCGACTCCCTGCGCATCTCGCGTGGCTGCTGGCCACGGGCATGGAGCCCGAATGACTGCTCGTGTTGGCATCGCGCAAGCATGTCCCCGTCATGTCCATCTAGTCAGGAGCAACGAAAGGGGGGGGGCGAGGCAAAGAGGGGAATGCATCGACCCCCAATCGCCCATTGATCGCCGATAGGGGCCCGATAGCCCCAACCCGCCCAGGAGGGTGCGGATTCGCTATCGGGGGCCTCTCGCCGATCTATCGGCGATGTCTCGCCGATTCCAGGTCGATATTTCCCCCCATGCCTATCCCACCCCTTTCGTTGCCCTTCAGCCATGTCCATCCTGAAAACAGACATCTCTCCCGCCGTCCGATTGTGCTCCATGGCATCTCTTGCCCTCCGCATGCCGCTAGTCCTGCTGTTGCTTGTCCTCCTCTGCCTCATGTGTTCGCTCCTGTCCAATTCCTCCCCATCATTCTGCTTCTGTTGCCATCGCTGCGAACTGTTCTCTAGGAGAAAGAACAATGACATAAACATAAAAACTCGGAGGTCCGCGCGCATTTCTCGGATCGGCGCTCGACCCTGGCGCGCAGAGCGCGCCAGGGGCGGCGCCAGAGGCGCCGCCAGGGGTCGCCAGCGCCGATCCGAGAAGTCCGCCCGGACCTCCGCGTTTTTATGTTTATTTCCCCATTCTCCTCCTGCATGCCTGCCACGCCCAGTCCCGAAGCCACACATCATGTCTGGCGCTGCTGCTCGTCAAAGCCTTGCACACGTGCGTGCCTTGCCGCTAGGCGCGCAGGCCTGTTGTCTCCTCGCTGCGACGGTCCATGTACGGCTCCGCGAGCGAGAGCTGGAGCCCCCCTTCGCACTGGACGAGCCCGAAGCCCAGACATGATCGGGTCGTAAAAAATCAGGACGGGAGGCTTTTGACCATTTTCGGCCCCGGGGGGCCCTCGCCAGGCCTCGGGACCGTCAAAGAACGATTCAGGACGATGAGCCGGTCCAGGGGAAAGGGTCGAGACTTCCAGGGACGCCGTCTTGAGCATGTCTGGGAACACACTTTTTTCCCGGAAAGGGCATGGGCCCAGGGTTCTCTTTTAGTAGGTAAACCTGTCCCCCGGTGCCAACTTGAGGGAGGCCGGCGAATTTTTTCCCTGATAAATAACGAGGTCGAAGGAGGCCGGCGAATTAAAATTTGAGGATGTCTCGAGCGAAACGCTTGTTTTTGAAATCCCGATCGATAAATCACAGGGTGCGGGCCACTTTTTCGTGTGTTGAGGATGTCTCGAGCGAAACGCTTGCTCCGCAGAGTTTGCCGAGGATGTCTCGAGCGAAACGCTTGTTTTGCAGAGCCGACCGCGACGCGGAAAAGCGCCCCGCGCGAAGGAATTTCGATGATGTCTCGACTAATTCCTTTGTTTTTGTACGATTTCCTGGAATTTTGGCAGGATGTCTCGAGCGAAATGCACGACCCCACCCTAGCACGACCATACCCCAGCACGACCACACCCCAGCACGACCAGACCCCAGCACGACCCCACCCCAGCACGACCCCACCCCAGCACGACCATACCCCAGCACGACCACACCCCAGCACGACCCGACCCCAGCACGACCCTACCCCAGCAAGACCACACCCCAGCACGACCACACCCCAGCACGACCTCACCACAGCACGACCACACCCCAGCACGACCACGCCCCAGCACGACCACGCCCCAGCACGACCACGCCCCAGCACGACCACCCCCCAGCACGACCACCCCCCCAGCACGACCACCCCCCAGCACGACCACCCCCCAGCACGACCACACCCCAGCACGACCACTCCCCAGCACGACCACACCCCAGCACGACCCCCAGCACGACCACACCCCAGCAACGACCACACCCCGCACGACCACACCCCAGCACGACCACACCCCAGCACGACCTCACCACAGCGCGACCCCACCACAGCACGACCACACCCCAGCACGACCACGCCCCAGCACGACCACGCCCCAGCACGACCACCCCCCAGCACGGCCACCCCATCAGCACGACCACCCCCCAGCACGACCACCCCCCAGCACGACCACACCCCAGCACGACCACACCCCAGCACGACCACGCCCCAGCACGACCCCACCCCAGCACGACCACACCCCAGCACGACCACACCCCAGCACGACCCACCCCAGCACGACCCCACCCCAGCAAGACCACACCCCAGCACGACCACACCCCAGCACGACCTTACCACAGCACGACCACACCCCAGCACGACCACGCCCCAGCACGACCACGCCCCAGCACGACCACGCCCCAGCACGACCACGCCCCAGCACGACCACGCCCCAGCACGACCACCCCCCAGCACGACCACCCCCCAGCACGACCACACCCCAGCACGACCACTCCCCAGCACGACCACACCGCCTTGGTTGAGTGGTTGCCTGTCGTCGTGGAATGTTTCGTGGGGTGTCTCGTGGAATGTTTCGCGGGGTGTCTCGTGAAATGTTTCGTGAGGTGTCTCGTGGAATGTTTCGTGAGGTGTCTCGTGGGCTGTTTCGTGAGGTGTCTCGTGGGATGTTTCGTGAGGTGTTGCCCAGTTGGGTATCATGAAAACGTGTCCATGCTCCACATGTCTATATCCCTTTCCGGGTTCGTGGGTCCATCATGTTGCGTCGGCGGCTGGGCAAGATCGACTGCTCCGGCGGGATGGCAACAGGGGGCACGCTGCAATTATGCAAATTCAGGCCGCGATGCACGGGAGGAGGAGGAGGAGGATGAGCCCCGGCGCGACAGGGGGAGAGGAAGCCGGGCCACTCAGAGCTGCCGGCGGCGGCAGGGGACAGCGCCTGGGGAGGAAGCAGCGCCGCAGAGCCCGAAACATAGAGACACACAGAGACAAACACAGCCACACGCACACGCACACGCACACGCACACGCACACGCACCCACACACACACACACGCACACACGCACACGCACACGCACACACGCACACGCACACGCGCACACGCAACCGCACACGCACACGCACACGCACACGCACACGCACACGCACACGCGACACACGACACGCACACGCACACGCACACACACGCACGCACACGCACTGCAACACCGCACCCAACACACACACACACACACACACAACGCACGCACACCCACACACACACGCACGCACGCACGCCCACGCACCACGCACACGCACACTCACACGCATACGCACACGCACCGCACACGCACACGCACACTCACCACTCACACGCACGGACGCACACGCCGCGCACCCGCGCACACGCGCACACGCGCACACGCACACGCACACGCACACACCACACGGCACCCACACACGCCCAGAAGCTACAAACGCGCACGCCCACACGCACCACCACCACATACGCACCACGCACGACGGCACGCGCACCAACGCCCAGGCAACGGCGCCACGCACATCGCACACGCCACACACGTACACGCGCCACACTGCACTGCACACTA